CGGCCTGGCCCACGCCCGAGCCGATGGCGGCAAGTCCGATGGCGAAGCCGGCACCGATGGCTGAGAGCGCCGGGATCCACACGGCACCGCCCTTTCGAGCTGTTGGGAGTAGGATTTACGTTTTTGTGGTTCAACCCCTTTTTTCTTCCGCTTTAGTGGGTTTAGGATTTAGAATTCAGGGGTTGGGGTTATAGGGTTTGGGGTTTAGGGTTCAGGTTCTAAGGTCTAAGAGTTCAGGATTTAGGGGGCCACCCTGGTGGATGTAGAGTTCTACCTTGGGCGCAGGGCCTTAGGGCTTGAGGGCCTTGAGGTGTTTGAGAGTTTAGGGCTTCGGCTCATGCATGTTGGGTTTGGGCTTAGGGCTTGGGGTTTAGAGTTTAGGGTTTGGGCTCATGCATGTAGGGCTTGGGTTTAGGGTTGAGGGTTTAGGGTTTAGAGTCTAGGGTTTCGGCTCATGCATGCAGGGTTTTAGGGTTTGGGAGGCTGAGGGTTTCGGGATCTTCTGGGATCTGGCTTGGGGACATATAGTCTTGTCGTTTGGGTTACTATATACTAAAGGAAAATACTTGGTAACAAGTAGGGTTATTTTATAAAAACCCTTAACTCAATTCTAGAACAGCGCTTCGAGTCGTAGGCACTAAACTACTTCTGACAGTTTTCTAACTGCGGGGCGGGGCTCACTGTTGATATATTATCGAATCGTGATTGATCACATTTCACTCGAGGTCAAGCTTTACGATTCAGGTTTCACACTGAGCTTCACAATGAGAGCTGTACATTTTATACAATGTGGGGATCTAGTGCTCCACGTCCTTGAGGTCAAGTTTCGCATTGAGCTTCACATTGAGAAATATTCACCTATGGCCTCCAAAAGAGTGCTGTTCACACTGAGGTTCACACTGCGACTGCTTTTCATGTTGCGATCATCTTTACCCAAAAGGGGGTCTGTATAACTGAGCATGTTCAAGCAGTCGTTCCTGATGTCTGCGTTGCGTTTGTCGAACGGTATGGCTGATAGGCTGGCATCCAATTCTTTCATCACTGACCAAGCCTTCTCCATGTTATTTACCGTCCAAAACTGCCGTGGTTTGCCAACTCTTCGAAATCTCGCTTCTTTTGGAACAGCGGAAGGAGTGGCGAAAGTGGCCTGATGTAATGGGTTCTGTCTTGGCCTCTGCATAATGCGACCTAACATTTTAAGCTTTCTATCTTCCAGTATTTCTGTCAGCGGCTTTACTCTCCGGTTCGTTCCATCGGTTGGCGCATTGATTTCCTGATTCGCGCGTTTGTAGATATATTCATTGGTATTGTTCCGTTGAATGAAGGTCGTATGTACTCGAAGAATTTTCCTCAGGCCTTTAAGTTGGAAAGTGTTCAACAGGGTTGCCGTGGCATTTGTAGGTTCAAGCGTTTCTAGGCCGTATAACACGTCGGTTGTGATGACCGCATTGTACACTATGAGTTTCCATTTTCCGACTGCATTGAGCCTTCAGCCAGAAAATGTCCAACGTTTTCAGAAAAGTAGGGTTATAAGTGCCCTAATACGGGTTGTAACTATAGTTACCCTACTTATAACCCCACTTGTAACTACCCATGAACCTCCAAGTACCAAAACTATGGGCAGCTTTTCCTTTTTGATGATTTAGGGTTTAGGGTTTAGGGTTTAGTGTTCCTCCACAAAGTCTTGGAGGGCAAGATGTACGGGTTCACGATCCTGGTGACGCGCGGGTTTTTATTTTAGAGTTCATGCGGATGCCGACGAGCTTTCATAAGGGTTTACACATGGCTCATAATACAATGGGTTCCTTTCATGGTGTGTTTTATTGTTTAGGGCTCATACAAATCCTTGCTCTGACTGAGACCCCTAAGTGGGCCGGGGTCTAACTTCGACCTTACAGTCCAAGACGCTGACATCTACGCACATCCTTATCCCCCAATGCGGGGACTACCAAATCTATGCCCTATAAGCCTCCCAAGAAAGCCTGAACTTTTGAAAGCTGAAGTCCGTTACCCCGATATGAGTTAAAGGTCATATAACCTTATACTTACCTAGTCCCACGATCCTCCAAGTAAACCCTAGAACTCCATGTAGACTTTGTCTAGGTTCCCCAGTAGCCCCCAAACAATAAGGGTACCCTTGTTCCTACTACTTGGTTTTATTAAGGGAACCTAAAACAAAAAAGGGCAAAAGGGTACTACTGGGGGACCTAGTTGTGGCTCAAATGTCCCGTCGCCAACCTTTTCTTGGAAACAGCAGGCCTCGGCATAAGCTGCCTGAGGAGCCACCAGGGTCACAGCGCCTTGAAATCTTGCCACTGATGCTTAGTTAGGGGGTAAAGGCAGTGAATCCAAGAGTTGAGAAGACTTAACTCTGGAGTGAATTGCCCGGCATCGGGCAGTCTCGGACCCCTTCGGCCCAGCACAACTGCTTTGTGAATTAATTGGCCCTTGAACGTTGCTCGATGCTCTACTCCATATGCCGGACCCTCAACCGGAGTCCTGTCTGTTTAAGGCGCTTGGCTCAACGATCTAGATCTTTGGCCGCATAGCCGCATAACGCTTGTAGTGTTTGAGCAAGGAAGCACAGAAAAACCTCTTCCCCGAGGGCTTTACAGGAGGGTTTAGGGTTTAGGGTTTAGAGTCTCTGGTTTGCAAGAAATCCAACTCAGAGCCCTGAAGAAATTGGGCTCCAGGTTCCCAGTTATGTGGACAATTACACCTCAAGCCGTCCCCCTGGTGCCATACATGCGAGTTTCAAAGCATAGAGGACAAAGTAGTCGGATACGTACCACAACAACTAGTTATTGAAGGTACTTCGAACTTCAGGGCATTTTTCGCCCTCGCATTCACAGACAAAAGTTCGAGACTCCCACCCCCAAAACCCTGAACCCCTAAACCCCTTCAGCTCAGACAGGACACTCAAGGCCTAAACCCTAAACCCCTTCAGCTCAGACAGGACACTCAAGGCTGCGGCAGTTGCATGGGGGGCGGTTGGGGCCGGGGCAGCCTTGGGGGCGGCCACGAAGGCGGTGAAGAGGGCACCTTGGTCTTTGTTGCTGAGGGTTTAGGGTTTAGGGTTTAGGGTTCAGGGTTTAGGGTTTAGGGTTTGGGGTTCCAGGTTCCAAAGAGACTCCAATAACCCAGAGACTCCAAAACCCCTTAATTAAGAAATACACCTTAAACTATAATAAGAATCCTAATACGATTTAAGGTATATTCCTTGAATAAGGGTTATTGGAGTCTCTGAGGACCCTAAACCCTACACCCTAAACCCCAAGCCCCTGCATTCTCCTGATGAGCTTCAAGCTCTAACTCTTGGACCCTATCAGAGGGCCCAAGACCCGTTAATTCAGGAATAGACCTTAACTCATAATCCCTAAACCCTAAACCCTAAACCCTAAACCCTAAACCCTAAACCCTAAAAACCTGTTTTTTTTTAAAGTTATATTCCTTAATTAAATAGTATTAGGCTCTCTGGGAACCCTGAACCTTAAACCCGGCCCTCCAAACCCCCTAAACCCTAAACCCTAAAACCCTAAACCCTAAACCCTAAACCCTAAACCCCTAAACCCTAAACCCTTAAAGGCCAGGCCAAACAGCGACAAGTGCCGAAGCCGCAAACCGTTGCAAGCCCAAAGCCCTAAACCTAATGTAGGGCCTTAATAATTTCAATAGGGTTTTAGGGGGTTCCACCCTAAACCCTAAACCCTAAACCCTAAACCCTAAACCGTGGTCTATGAGGGATACTATAAGGGTTTGGGGTTTAGGATGCTTCAGCCCAAAGTCCCTCATCCTGTCAAGGGTTCGGGTTTAGGGCTTAGGGCTTCGGAGTTTAGGAGTTTAAGGTTTAGGGTTTAGGGCTTAGGAGCTTCGGAGTTTAGGAGTTTAAGGTTTAGGCTTCGGGTTTAGGGGTTAGGGCTTAGGAGTTTAGGAGTTTAAGGTTTAGGGTTCGGGTTTAGGGTTTAGGGTTGGGGCCGTAATCATGAGAATAGGGTTTTGGGCTCCTTTATAGTATTACTATAATAAGGAACCCTAACAGTATTATTGGTAATTAGTTTTCTATGCTTTGATATTAAGCCCCAAGTCCCTCAACATGTCTAAAGTGTAGCCGATGTGCGGATACATGAACGGATAACCGATACTTTATTTTTCGCAACACCCCATGACATGAAAGTCGAATAAGCTTCCAGACACATGGGGGTTTCCGAAAATAGGTCACCCTAATATAGTAACCTTAGTAGCCAGTAGGATCCTCAATATAAGGACCCCCAAATAAGGTACCCTAATTGTCGGAAACTCCCACATCGTAACTTCTGCGAACCCAGGAACCCAGAGAGCCCAATACCCCTTAATTAAGGAATATACCTTTGATGATGGGGACTTTAATATGAATAAAACTAACCATAATATGGTTTAAAGTATATTCCTCAGGTAAGAGGTATTGGGCTCTCTGGGAAGTTTAACATGTGGATATCGGAGTTGCAGGTTAGCGTGCTGAGCAGTGCCTCTTCCTTTTCAGCGATCCGGTCCGCTGAGTCTTTTTCTTGTTCGCGCCTGCGGTCCTTCTCCCGATCCTGCCGGGAACAGAAGGCTTGTGCTTCAGGGCAGGTTTCTGAATTCGGGCGCTGCCTCAAAGCACGGAAGGGTTAATTAAGGTAGAAGGCGTAAGAATTGGGTAGTGGTCATACCTCTACCCTTGTTCCTCGTGTTGATCATTCATGACACTTACGTTCAAGAATCAGGTGGCCAAAATTAACACACGAGCGATTGACAATCTGGTAGGGTAATTACACACTTTGTTTGCAACGGGCTCGGTGTTCGATTGCAGTTTCAACTCTCGAGGCCCACAAATCCTGTGCAGGGCTAGTAGTACCATGCGTGCTGCTTCACGAACGCAGAGACCTAGGTCCTAAATCGCACTCTTGAACACTACTACCGAATTTTAAAACACTACCACTCAACTCTGATCAAGAGGGTCCATATATACCACCAACTAAGTAGGTTCCCCAAGACCATGATTACGATGGGCTTCCGGGCATTCTTCCATAATGAGTGGTATGCGACCACAGAGCCCAACAACCCTTATTAAGGAATGTACCTTAAACCAATTTAGTAGTAATGCTCTACAGTTTGGGTTATACATATTCCTTCATGTAGGGGTATTGGGTTCCCTGGACTGCTTTGTTGCCCTTGCTCATGCCCTCTGAGCCTCGCGGCGCCTCTTCCATTCCTGGCAAAAAGGCAGACCGTCAGTCGGGCTAGGGTTCGGGTTTAGGGTTTAGGAGGCATTTAAGGTAGACTGACGGTTTAGGGTTTAGGGTTTAGGGTTCAGCCTAGTCTAGGGGCCTGAATAAGTAGATCAAGGTTTTGGGGTATATTATACTATAGCTAGAATTTATAAGGAACCCCAGAATAGTATAGGTAAGTATTAAGGCCCCCATCTTACATTCGTGGAGGGCCATCTAACCGCCAAGGCAGGAGGCTTCTATGTTTGCGCTGCTTGGATGCAGAAACTTCAGTATTGCACGGGATTTGGTTGTACAGAAAGGGCTGCAGGCGCCTATCAGGAGAAAGGAATCTGCATTGAAGCGGGCCGTCAGTCTTAGTGCCTTTCCTGAGTCAAGAACTGTTTAGCAGCTTAGCAATTACTGGACACACTGCCTCAGGATTACTCGAACTGGTGCTACTAGTACTTACTAGTACTTGGACTGGTCGAGCAGCAGTAGTAGCAGTAGCAGTA